CGGCTTCTATGTTTGTTTATTTATGTTTATGTTTATTTATATGGCAGACGCTTTTATCCAGAGCGAGTTACAATTTATAACCTGTAGGGCATGTTGTGATGTGTGGGGGAAACCAGAGTACCCGTAGGAAACCCACGCATGCATGGGGAGAACACGCAACTCCACGCAGAAAGGCCGCAGCCGAGTTTCGAGCCTGCGACCTTCGTGCTGCGAGGCAACAGTGCTAACCACTGCGCCACCATGCAGCCCTTCTAAACCACATTGTTGGTTTTTTCACTCAGAACGACTGAAGAAAGAGGAGAAAACCCGTCAGGAGCTGGAAAAGGCAAAGAGGAAGCTGGACGGGGAGACCACGGACTTCCAGGACCAGATAGCGGAGCTGCAGTCGCAGACAGAGGAGCTCAGAGTTCAGCTGAGCAAGAAGGACGAGGAGCAGCAGATGATGCAGACAAGGTGGGAGCGCGTGCGGCATCCTGCTGCCCCCCAGTGGAGGCGGTAGCGATTACACCTGTTTATTCTAGGAGCTCAGCGCATCTTTTCATTTAAGGGACAATTCACTGGTTTCATCTGTGAATTTGTGTTTTTTTCTGTTGAGCAGAGGAGAGGAGGAGTCCATCCAGAAGAACAATGCTCTGAAGCAGGTCCGGGAGCTGCAGGCTCAGCTGTCCGAGCTGCAGGAGGACCTGGAGTCAGAGAAACAGGCCCGGAACAAGGCTGAGAAACTCAAGAGGGACCTGAGTGAGGAGCTGGAAGCCCTTAAAACCGAACTGGAAGACACTCTGGATACGACGGCGGCCCAGCAGGAGCTCAGGTCTCCAGCTCTGGATGCTGTTCACCCTTCGTAAGGTGTTTTTTATTTGACCGTTTCTCACTAACCCCGTCAACTTTTAGGACCAAGCGTGAACAGGAAGTTGCTGAACTGAAGAAAGCCATCGAGGAGGAAACTAAAAACCACGAATCTCAGATCCAGGAGATGAGGCAGAGGCACTCCACCGTGCTAGAGGAGCTTTCTGAGCAACTGGAGCAGGCCAAGAGGGTACGAGACCTTCACTGAGAGAAGTTAGCAGCACTCTCTGATCGCCCTTTTGCCCTTTTTTTATCCATCTAGTTCAAAGCCAACCTGGAAAAGACCAAGCAGAGCCAGGAGAGCGCCAACAAAGAGCTGGCCAGCGAGGTGAAAAGTCTGCAGCAGGCGAAAACGGAGTCGGAGCACAAGAGGAAGAAGCTGGAGGCTCAGCTGCAGGAGTTCATGGCCAGAGTCACAGAGGGCGAGAAGGCCAAAGGAGAGCTGGCTGAGCGCACGCACAAGCTGCAGGTTAGAGCCAGAGGCAGCAGGAATCTGTGGGTTTGTCACGTGACTAGGGTTGTCATGGTGTGAAAATGTAACCTCACGGTTATTGTCACCAAAATGATCACGCTTTTCGGTATTATCGCGGTATTTATTTTCTCAACGTGTTACATTTTCAGACAGCTAAATAAACCCTGTATATCAGGAAATATTGTCCTCAGTTTGTGTCTAAATTTTGCCTAAAATGTGTTATTTTGTAATTATGTTGTTTATTTATTTACATATTTCCCCTTTAGTCTTTAAAATACCAATATTTGCCCATAACTTCTTATTTTTTTGTCTGTTTGATGTCATCATTTAAAAACATTAGATCAGATGATACTCATTACTCAAGTAGCCTTCTAATCAGGTACTTTTTTTACCCTTACTTGAGTAATAAACCCTTTATCAGGAAAATATTGTCCTCGGTTTGTGTCCTTCCAGTGAGCTTTGCAGATCTGGGAAAATGTCATCAGGCAGTAATCATTGTTAAATTCATAATTATTCTCGGAGAGAGACCAACTCTTATCTGCCCCTGGGAGCCCCGTAATGCATAGCGTCATTTCAACATGGCGGTGTCCGCGACACGGTTTATATGCAGGTAGCGGCGCTGCGGCTGCTTTATACAGCGACTCGTTGCATTCTCCCTCAACCCAAATCCTCGGATCACGCATTTTAGCTAAAGCGCTAACGTTAGCTTGCCTTGCGTTGACTGTAGAGTTGTGGGTGATGGTCACGCAGATGTGTCATAAGATTTGAAGCATTGCTGCCTTTCACAGACACTTTTTCTGCACGTGCTGCAAACAGGATAGCCGTCTTCTTTCAGCTGTCCCTCGGCATTCTTCAAATATCCAAAAAATGCCCGTACTTCCCACTTTGTCTTCTTTGAGGGATAAAAAATGTCCTGAGCGCTGCCGTCTCCTTCTTTGGCCATTATTTCAGCTTTGGCTTCAAGAAAGTTCTGGTTGTAAACAACAAAGTGCGCATGTGCCGCCGGCAACTTCAGCAGATGAAACGGTGGCTGGTAAGGGTCACCGCGCCTACACCGCAGCCACGGTAATCCACCGAGATAATATAGATTTAAAAAACAAGACGGTTATTATTATTAACTTTTTTACCGGGGTTTACCGCTACACCGGTTACCGTGACAACCCTACACGTGACGATGACAAAGTTCAACATCGACTGATTCAAAACCCTTTTCCAACGTCGTGTTACGCCTGAGTCTTCTGGGTTTTGTCCTACCTGATGTGGTTCGATGCGTGGCCACGACAATAACGACGCCATACCACAGAAAAAACCTCTGAGGTCAAATTCACCGAGGAGGTCAAAAGTCCAGGAGGCAGGAAAGGCCTCAGGGTTCAACCGGAGCTAACTGCAGAGAAACGGGGCTCCAGAACCGCTGATGGAAGCAGAATCAGGCGGGACAAAAGCCAGAAGCACTCAGGCGTGAAGGTGGGTAAAGATCTGGATCAGCGGCGGTTCTGTAGAGCGTGGAGATGCTGACCTGAGGAAGAACTAAAACATGGAGGACAGTGACCCTCGAGCTCCAGTTTTAACCGTGGCTCAGATCTTTTTCGTCTGAATAAAATGACCGTATCAGAACCTCCTGCAGACGGAGCTGGACAACGTGTCGGCCCTGCTGGAAGAGGCGGAGAGGAAGGGGATCAAGCAGGCCAAAGACGTGGCTGGACTAGAGAGCCAGCTCCAAGACACACAGGTGAAGACCCTTCATGATGTATTTAAGGAGCTTTAAACTCCACCTGAACTCCATCCGCGGTGTCTTTTCTTCTAGGAGCTCCTCCAGGAGGAGACCCGTCAGAAGCTAAGCCTGAGCAGTCGCATTCGCCAGCTGGAGGAAGAGAAAGCTGCTGTGCAGGAGCAACAGGAGGAAGACGAGGAGGCGCGCAAGAATTTGGAGAAACAGCTGTTGTCCCTACAGGCTCAGGTAGGATGTGACCTCTGCGCCTCAAAAGGCAGCATCCTGGTCACCTTCTGACAGCGTTTTGTGTTTAAAGCTGTCGGAGAGCAAGAAGAAGCTGGAGGATGACGCTGGAACGATGGAGAGCTTGGAGGAGGTGAAGAAGAAGCTGCAGAAGGACCTGGAGCTGGCCAGCCAACGTCTGGAAGAGAAGACGATCGCCTTTGAGAAGATGGAGAAGACAAAGACCCGTCTTCAGCAGGAGCTGGACGATCTCACTGTGGACTTGGACCACCAGAGGCAGATCGTCTCCAGCCTGGAGAAGAAGCAGAAGAAGTTTGACCAGGTAGCAAAGCTTTTATCTGCTGGGGTTGGGAGGTGTGATGAGTTTGGTCTCAACACTGATCAACAATCCCGTCCTCAGATGCTGGCCGAGGAGAAGAGCATCTCGGCTCGTTACGCCGAGGAGCGCGACCGCGCCGAAGCCGAGGCCAGAGAGAAGGAGACCAAAGCTCTGTCCATGACCAGAGCTCTGGATGAAGCGCTGGAGGCCAAGGAGGAGCTGGAGAGAGTCAACAAGCAGCTCCGCGCCGAAATGGAAGACCTCATGAGCTCAAAGGACGACGTGGGCAAGAACGTGAGCGTCACGGCGCTTGACTTTTGCTTCAGACAAACAATATCGTGTTTTTATCTTCTGGCTCTTCTCACTCGTCTCATCAGGTCCACGAGCTGGAGAAGTCCAAGCGCACCCTGGAGCAGCAGCTGGAGGAGATGAAGACTCAGCTGGAGGAGCTGGAGGACGAGCTGCAGGCCACAGAGGACGCCAAGCTGCGTCTGGAGGTCAACATGCAGGCCATGAAGGCTCAGTACGAGAGGGACCTTCAGAGCAGGGACGACCAAAACGACGAGAAGAAAAGAGCGCTGGTCAAGCAGGTGAAACACGGACCTTCTGTCTGCGTCGTAGTAGAGCCACCTGCACCTTTCCATAACTCCTTCCTGGTCACAACCTTCCAGGTGCGAGAAATGGAAGCTGAGCTGGAGGATGAGAGGAAGCAGAGAGCTTTGGCCGTAGCGGCTAAAAAGAAGCTGGAGATGGACCTAAAGGACATCGAGAGTCACATCGAAGGAGCCAACAAGGCTCGAGATGAAGCCATCAAACAGCTACGCAAGCTCCAGGTACTGACTTCAGTCGGGTGTAAGAGAGGTCCGCTTCTGTTCTCATGAGTATTTGTTCTGCTTCAGGCTCAAATGAAGGACTATCAGAGGGAGCTGGAGGACACGCGGGCTTCCAGAGACGACATTTTTGCCTTATCGAAGGAGAACGAGAAGAAGCTGAAGAGTCTGGAGGCGGAGATTGTTCAGCTGCACGAGGTCAGGGTCTTCGCTGTGATTGGTTAAACGTGTTTTTGTGGCGATGCTAAATTTTTCTACTTCTGCTCCACAGGACCTGGCAGCGTCTGAGAGAGGCCGTCGCCACGCAGAGCAGGAACGAGACGAGCTACAAGACGAAATCTCAAACAGCACCTCTGGAAAGTGAGGCAGCGTGAAGCTTCACCGGTTTCTGCGTTTAACTCCGCTCTAGTCCACGTTAAACCAACTTCTGGTCTCCCGTCAGGGCGGCTCTGATGGACGAGAAAAGGAGGCTGGAGGCTCGAATTGCACAGCTGGAGGAGGAGCTGGAGGAGGAGCAGGGCAACATGGAGCTGCTCAACGACAGATTCAGAAAGAGCACCATGCAGGTGTGGTGTCAGCATTTGTCTCCGCTGCCTCTGATGGGCTCAAGTTAAAGTAACAGTCCATTCTGCTGGTCGTAAAACGGCCCCATCCTCGTTAGCACTGGCCTGCTGTAGCTAGCGCTAACAACGAGCTAACGCTAACAAGACCCAACTAATACTAAAATAAACCACAAAGTAAAAGGATTCGCACTGTTGGACAAAAATATTATTACTTACAAGTCCAGTAACAACAAAGCCAGGTCACCATCAATCCATACTTTTGTAGCCTCCTTTAGCTCCGTCAAGCTAGCGTGGGCTGCACTGATGTTCGCTCAGTTTTTAGCTCTTTGCTCTTTTTACTTCCGGGTGCTGCCATGATGCCAACAGAACTGTTAGCTTTTATATTAGCTACGGCACAGTAAACGGCTAACAGCTGTAAAGCGGGTAGAGACCTCCCACTAGTGTTCCCGCCTGAACCACAAAAGTTGTTTAGTTCCGTTTCTGGTCAGCAGAGGGCGACAGAGCACTGTTCAATGTCAAGCTGCTCAACTTCCTGGTTCAAGAACTACCGAATCTAGTTTGAAAGCAGTAGCTTAACGTGTTAAAAATCCTTAGTTCTGCCTTAAGGTGCAAGGTAAAAGGTGTCTCCTGTCCCTCCCCTCTGTGCACCTCCTCCAGGTGGACACGCTCACCACAGAGTTGGGCTCAGAGCGCAGCACGGCACAGAAGAGCGAAAACGCTCGCCAGCAGTTAGAGCGCCAGAACAAGGATCTGCGGGCCAAGCTGAGCGAGCTGGAGGGCTCTGTGAAGAGCAGGTTCAAGGCCTCCATCACAGCCCTGGAGGCCAAAATAGCACAGCTGGAGGAACAGCTGGAGCAGGAGGCCAGGTGAGGAAACACATCAAGTGTTCAGGTATCAGAACCGATGAATTTATAAATGTCACGTTTCCTTCGCTGAAGGGAGCGAGCAGCAGCCAACAAGGTCGTGAGGCGAACCGAGAAGAAGCTGAAAGAAGTCTGCATGCAGGTGGAGGATGAACGTCGCCATGGCGACCAGTTTAAAGAGCAAGTATGTGCACAGCTGGTTTCTCTGCTGCTGTGATTATTCGTCATCCTACTGCTGATACTCATCGTCATCTCCTCCTGTGTGTGTGTGTGTGTGTGTGTGTGTGTGTGTGTGTGTGTGTGTGTGTGTGTGTGTGTGTGTGTGTGTGTGTGTGTGTAGCTGGAGAAGGCTGGCTCTCGTATGAAGCAGCTGAAGCGGCAGCTGGAGGAGGCGGAGGAGGAGGCCACCAGGGCCAACGCCTCCCGCAGGAAGCTGCAGAGAGAGCTGGACGACGCCACCGAAGCCAGCGAGGGTCTGAGCCGGGAGGTCCACACTCTCAAGAACCGCCTGAGGTGCTGCCCGCTCCTACAGAAGCTTCGTCACCCTGATGTTACCTAGCCTCACCTCCGCTCCTCTTCCCCCTGCAGGCGCGGTGGCCCCATCAGCTTCCCCCCCAGTCGCTCAGGCCGACGCCCCCTGCAGGTGGAGGGGACATCGTTGGACCTCCTGTCGGATGAAGAGCTGGAAAACAAGGTCACCGACAACAACGCCAACGAGACTCCAGCTCCACAGCTGGAGTAGAGGAGCCCCAACATCTCCCCTCATGTCCCTCAGCTCCATCAGCCACTAGAGCACTCTAGCTGCTCGATCCGGGACCTAGTCTCTGTTCTGACCTCTCCCTTGTTCTTAGCAGACACCAGCAGTTGGCTCCCTTACCTCGCCTTACCGACCGAACCAGCCCACCTCCGACGTTCAGCCTCAGAGCTGTAGAAAAGCACAGGAACAGCAGCAAGCCCACCGAGCCCCTGCAGGCCTTAGAACCCCGTGACCAGCTTGTCCTGCAGATTCTGGCTCTGCCGTTAGCTGCTCATCATGCTACAGCATCTCTTGATTTTGGAGCTAGTGCAGTTTGACGTTAGGGTCGCTGCCTTGTTAGCTTTGTTGTCTCGTTTAGCTTCCTCCGAAGCCTGACAGCAGGTCAGCGTTGACTTGTAATAGTTCAGTGCGAGAGCCAAAAGCAGCGCTCACACTCGTGCTCTTTTGCTTGTTTCTTCGGTGCCTTTTTCTATTGTTTCAAATCCATTTATGTCACATTTATAGTTCATTTATTGAACCCTGTTTAGGTATTTTCATATAAAATATCATAAATTTGCTCATTTTAATGAAGATTTAGTGGAAACCTGATGAATGTCTTCCTCTGACTTTTCCTGTCACCCTGCTGTTCGACGTGCCGACGGCGTGGAGATCTTTGTAGACGGGTGCTACGACTTTTCTTATCGAGATCTTTTGTACCTTTTCAGTTATTAAGACTTGACTGGTTCGATAGATATCAGCTGTATTTATGCACCTGCTAATGTTTACAATACAAACTACATTCATGATGCAAACTGCTCAGTGTTGCACATCAATCCTCCATCTTTGCTGTTTATTATGAGTTGTACAGCGTCGGAGTATTTAGGAGTTCATTGTTGCATTAAAGTCTGTGGAGCCCAGCTGGTACGTTCATGAATGATGTCATCCATTTACAGCATGAACATGCGTTACAATGTTCATTATGTCCTCTTTTTAAAGAGCAGGTCACCCCCTGCCAGATTCTTACTCAACTCCCACTTCCTGTTTGAAAAATGCAACAAATGCTGTTGCCTAGCTGACCGAGAGGGTGGAGCCTCTAACAAATACACACACTCACGACATTGTGACATCATAATGTACCATCTAACATCATAGTGTACCTTTTAGCCAATAGCGATGGAAGATTTAAATTCAAATGCAGTGCTGAGTTTTTGCCTGACAAATATTTAAATTTTAACTAAGATGCACTAAAGTGCCGAATTATTGACTACATGTGTCTACAGCACGATTGGACTCTCATTTATATAGTTTATCAGCAAAAAAAATGGTGATTTGGAGTGACTTGCTCTTTAAATATTAAACGAGGTTCTTTTAGCTTCGGACATGAAGGTGTTTCGAGTTACCTTTACACGTTTCGACCGTTGTCTGCGGTCTTCATCAGAAGTGTCACAGGTGTTTGTGTGACGCGTCTTTATCAGCTGTTCTTCTGGTGGGCGCGACCAACCCAGATCTGTCAGATCCGCCGGGTCGGCCGCGTCCACTCCCGCTGGCTGGTCTTTGGAGAAGGGAATCCCAGGTGCGAGATAGCTGATAGGCCGCCCCCAAATGGAAGGGATAGTTGGGGAGTCACAGAACGTCAAACCTCACATGAAACTCAGACGGCTACTGGTACACCCCAAGGACAAAATAGAACCAGACAAGAAATGCAACGTAAGCTACAAAATACCACGCATGTCGTGCAATAAAACATACATAGGGGAAACCGGCAGAACGTATGACACAAGAAGAAAAGAGCACCAGAAGGAATGTGAGAAGGAAACAACAGAAAGACTCACAAGGACAAGAAAGAAAAAACCAGAGGAGCAAACCCTCAAGTCAGCCGTCTCAGATCATTGCAAACGAAATAATAACATCATGGACTGGGATCAAGGGACAGTTATCAACACAGAGAACAGCCAGTTCAAACGTTGGGTCAGGGTGGCAATAGAAAACCTGAGACCCCACACGTGATGAGAGTCACAGATATTCCAGTTTTGGTCCTGCCGTGTGCGGTGTGCAGCAACACAGCAGACAGGAATACTGCGATTAAATGTGACTTTGGAGCAAGCAGACGTCCTGTCACCTCACTTTCTAACCGGCTACACGTCACATCCAACAGTCAGCACACTTGTTTGTCCTTAAAAATCCGACCAAGTCAGTCCAACACATTCGAAAACCGGGATTTATGATTGGAGCGGTCCTGACGTCCTTCTGAGCAGATCAAAGCCCTCTCAAGACATCACACACAGAAGGAATATCTGATAAGATTCTCTTTAGACACACTTACAGGTCAAAATTCAGCTTAACGATCCTGTCAGGTGAACTGGGCTGTAGGATTCCTTTGATTTGTACAGCCATCCTGTTCCTACAGGGTTCACCGTGACTGAACCGCTATCTGATGCCCGAGAGTCTTCCGACACCCATCTTGGTCAAAAACAACAGAATCACACAGAAAAAACACATTAACACGCCTTACCAATGCTTACCCACACATGGAGGTCTACGATACGCTCATAAACTACCTACAAAATACATTTGGTTTGTACTTCCTGGTTTCTAAATGGTTTTACTGAGGAAATCTGGAAAAGTTGAACGTGCACATCGAATCAATTTATTTGCAATTGCTCCACCTATTTTTGTCCAGCAGATGCCGCCAAGCTGCAACAATTGGCTCCAACTTCCAACAGAACAACAAACGCCATCTTTCCGGTTTCTGCAAAAGTCGGTCCTTTTGATGGAGGAATTCACTTTTAAAATGAAACAAATAATTTTAATGTTGAAAAAAGGTCAATTCTGTATAAACTGGCACAAAAAGCAGCCAAATCTGTGACTGGCTGACTAGTCAAGTTCCTATGCTCTGGGTCGCTGGAGCGCTGGCAATAAAGCTTTTTCTGATTCTGATTCTGATCACTAAGATGAAGAACCTAAAAAGCAACCAACCACAGCGAAGCAGTAGTTTCACTAAAACATACCAGGTGTGTTGGTACGGGGAAACGGAGCTGATCTGGTGACTGTTATAAAGATTTCTATCTGACCAGATCAGGGCTGTTTATTTCTGGTTCTTGAAGGCCACAAGACCTGCATGTTTTCTGTTTCCCTGCATCAACATGCCTGGTTTGAGTTTTTTCAACAGGCTGTGTTGGAGCAGGGCAACAGCTAAAACAAGCAGGCCTGATATGGACTGAATAGCTGCTATGAAACTGTGACCTGCTTTTGACACGTTGGAGGTACTCGAGTCCAGCCTGTCGTCTTTCAGGTCTCTGAACAAACCTGATGCTCTTTGAAGAAGAATTGGCTGATTTGTTCATCCACCAGTTAACGATGTCCCAGTTCAGTTTAAACATTAGTTTTGAACAAAGTGTGTGTCACTAAAAAGTTATTTTTAACCTGTACGTTCTTCAGTTTAAAACATTTGTTCAACAAACCACTCCTACCAGCAGGACTAAGTAAAACTGCACTTTCTGTTCAGAACACAACAGAGGTGGGATCAAGTCTCAGTTTCACCAATCACAAGTAATTCTTTCCACTCGCTTTAAACTTCTAAACAAATCATTTAATCAAATGTGTAGTAATAACGTCGTGAAGGTTTTAAAAGGTGCAATATGTAACAATGAAAAAAGAACGACATCCTGTTGTGCTGTACGATACCGCAGAATTTGGTATTGATCCGATACCAAGTAAATACAGGACCAGTACTGCAGATACCGATACCAATGCCGATACTTTACTACTAGTCTAGTACCGTCTAGTTTTGTGGGATTTCTTGCGAGAATACATCATCAATACGAAAATCTTATCTGAAAACTCAAGTTTTATTGAATACTTAATTATTTTGTAAGTTTTCCTTTAATAAATCGTGTATGATGTTAATAAAATACAGGAAACATTTTCAGGACAATAACATTTTTATTAGGAAACTAAAAATGGTTTATAGAAAATTAATTTTCTCTTTAGGGGGTCGTAATCTGCATTTATAGCTCAAGATTTCTTTCTATTTCCGGTCTGCTGTCACGCAGCCACGACAGCGCTCTCTGCTGTTCTGTGCTTGTCTCGTGCCGGCGCGCTGTTTTACCTTTTTTTATGTAATGGTGGACTGCCCCGTTGTCTGACATCCGTAGCGTTCCAATCACAGTGCTTTAATGGTTTGTTGGGCCAATCACAGCGCTCTTTTAGCAAGGTAGGCGAGATGTCCCTGCTAACAAACATGGCTGCCGGTCCACTCAGCCAGGTAAGCTACAAATCATGGTGGTTGCTGCTCTGTAGTGGTCCAATCATAGCGCTCTATAGATTTCATGGGCCAATCGCAACACTAAGTAGGCAGGATGTCATTGGAAACAAAACAACAAACGTGACCAGTCGGCGGTCAGCCGCTCGTTTGAAACATTTTTGGCATCAAGTTTGGACTATTATGACTTTGGCTTTTGTTTGAGTCGAGATCAGATAGAAGTACTAACGTTTATTTAGGAAAAGGGTGTGTTTTGCATCTTCTTTGACGGAGTTTGGTGGACTGCCTCGTTGACCGAGCGGTAAGTACGTCATGGCTTGCCAGGCTAGAAGAAACTGAATCGATGTCATCACGCAGGTATCTAGTAAATACTCAATACCAATGTTAGATCAATACTATCGATATTTTAGATCGATCCGCCCAGCCCTAACATCCTGTGGTCAAACTAGGGTACTGCAGCCTACAATAAAGTTACTCTCTCACTTCTGTTCCGTGAGTTTCATGCTTATGGATCAGCGCCAGAAGATTCTAGATGACAAAAACAAAGACGAGTCATTCACACTGAGTTGATGAGTGGATGAATACATTGCTATATCCAGTGTTGGAACTCTTATGTGTTTTGCGGTAATAAGCACTTACTTCACAATTTATGGTAAGAGAGGAAGCGTGGTTGTTGGCCGTCTTGCTGTCGTAGTTCTGAATGACTCATTAAAGAAAGTAAAACACCGCGATCGACTCATTTTTTACTTCACAGTTGTTGATGATTGAAAAAGTAGCTTGTGATGTTTTTAGAGTCTAATATTTGCTTCAAATTGTCACATCCTGTCCTGTCTTCTCTTAGGTTTTAGTCTGTGTCTCCGTTAATTGCTCCCACCTGCCTCTTGTTTCCCAATCACCATAGCTCCCGCTCCTCGTGTATTTAAACCCCTTTTGTTCTGTGTTCCATGTCGTGTCATTGTTTCAGTGTCCCGCGTGTCTCAGAATAAATCATTGTAAGAAGTCCTACCTGTCTGCCTGTTTCCTCCCCGGTCTGGATCCTCGCCTTTCCTCGGCTTACTTCACCGGCATGCGTGGCACAAATACATTGTTTTTGTGTAACCTTCCTCCCAGCAAGACTGAGATTTTACTTTTTTGTGATTATTTTGCAGTAGAATTCCTACATGTTGCTCCTTTAAACCTTGTTTTACGATGGAAAAGCCATGAAAACGCATGTTTTCTGTTTGGTTAGTGTTGCATCTAAATAGTTGGTGTTTAGTTTCAGGAAACCTCAGAATTTTACTGACTGCCCTAAATGAAATTCCTCAGGTGCATTTCCAGGTAAACCTGATTAACTAAAAAATGCAACTCGGAAAATCAGTAGTATTGCTTCTGGTTTGGACAAAAACTTGGCACCTTGCCACTTTCCTTGTAGAAACTCCCCTGAGAAGCAATTGGTGTTTTTTTTTAATACCATGAAGCAAAGCAGGAAAGAGACAGTCGTGTCTGAAAGAACACTGGAACAAGTGGGAAAGTCCAAACCAAGTCACAAGGATCAAGTTCAGGTCAAATTTCACATTTTTAAGGGCCAAGCTCAAATCAAGTCTCAAGTCTGACAGATAGATCCTGTCGTGTTTTCATGGGACAAGTCCAAGTCTCAAGTATTTTTGGAGTGGGTCC